CCTTAGGTGTATGTGGCTGGCGCCCTAGCCGCTTGAGCCACAGGCGCCGAGCCTACACTTGGCTTTTAGGATAATACCTGTTTATGATAGTAAATTGCAGAAGTGTGGTAATTTGAGGCATATATTGTGAAAGGAGAAATGTATGTTTGCAGTCACACTCATGTACATACTTGTGTGTGCGTAGGAGGAGGGGAGATCTATGTAGTAGGCATGGTTGAAGAAAGTAGGCTATTTTGTTGACTGTTTCTCTAAAACATTTTTCAGATCCAAAAGTGGGAAGGTATTAGAATAGGGATTAATATTTTCACTGCAGATGGTACTTCACTGACAGCCCACATTACTGGCTTCCCAAAATACAGAGTTGACATGTTTATGTGATTTGGTCACGTCCGGCTTATCGTGGCTTTGTTTTTCTCCACTTAAGGGCCTGTCCTGCACAGGAGTAATATTGCTGACTATGCACTCAGTGCTGGGACCACAGCTATGAATGCCCAGAGGCTCCTAAGAGCTACAAAACTGAACAAACCCATTCTCCTGGAAGGCTCCCCTGGTGTTGGCAAAACAAGTTTGGTGGGAGCATTAGCAAAGGCTTCAGGAAATACCCTGGTTCGAATCAACTTGTCAGAGCAGACGGTAAGCTTAGTCATCCCACAGCTGATGGGGGATATGTACAGTAGTTGTGCCAGTTTATAGCATCCTAATCAGAAATGGTTACATTATCAGGACTCACAAATATGTTGTATGGTAATAAAGTGCACAGCAACACGACCGACCGTCCAAACTGAAAGGAATTCTGCTTTTGGATTCAGTAGTAGCTGACCATTCTTTCTTGATGCTTTATTCTAATTCTCTTTCGAGAGAGAGCTACCCACTTTAGTAGTTATTGTTTTCGGGGGGGGGGTTTGTTTGTTTAGGAGACAGAGTCTCATTTTATCACCCTCGGTAGAGTGCCATGGCATCACAGCTCATAGCAACCCCCAGCTCTCAAGCTTAGGCGATTCTCTGGCCTCAGCCTCCCAAGTAGCTAGGACTTATAGGCACCTGCCACAACACCTGGCTATGTTTTTTTTTTGAGACAGAGTCTCACTTTTCCACCCTCAGTGGAGTGCTGTGGCATCACAGCTCACAGCAACCTCAAACTCTTGGGCTTAAGCAATTCTCTTGCCTCAGTCTCCCAAGTAGCTGGGACTACAGGTGCCCACCACAACACCCGGCTATTTTTTGGTTATAGTTGTCACTGTTTGGCAGGCTCAGACTGGATTCAGATTCGCTAGCTCTGGTGTATGTGGCTGGTATCCTAGCCACTGAGCCATAAGCACTGAGCCAGTTATTTGTTTTATATATATATATATTTTTTTCTTCTTTTTCTTAAATAAGGAAAAGGATTTGTGCACAGTGAGAAATCAGAGCAATTGCCTGTAGTTTTAGTAACATAACCCCACTTAATTTTTTTGCTTTCTAAAATAAAATAGGAATAAAATGACTTTCAAACAATCATATGAAAATAATGGAGTAGAGAAGACAAATTAAATGAAAATCTTTTGGAACGTGGTCTGGGAGCAGGGCCTGGGCATTGTTTTGCAAGGGGGGGAGGTCTTAAAGCTCTGTGACTAGTGTCTAAGTACAGCCAAGATTGAGAGCTGTTAATCTAGAATGCTGGCTCCATTGATAGATGCTGGGAATGTTGTGACAGGAAGATTCTTGGGCGTGTGTGTGTCCCTGCTAGAGGGTGGGACTATTTAATTCTATCTTGGGTGCAGGGAGAAGGAACAGTGGCACCAGGCCCAAGTATTATGTTAATCATTTCCGATCTGGGGTCTTAGGATCTGGTTAATTTTTTTAAATAATGCTGGCTTTGCATCATTTCTTCCTTTTATCAAAGGACATCACAGACTTGTTTGGAGCAGACCTACCAGTTGAAGGTGGCAAGGGAGGAGAGTTTGCCTGGCGTGACGGCCCTCTTTTGGCAGCTTTGAAGGCAGGCCATTGGGTCTTGTTGGACGAGGTGAGGAGCTTACCCATCATGCCCGGGGTGGGATCAAGCGTGTGACAGGCGGCCATGCTTTCCGGAGCACCAGGGCATTTCTTAGCAGATTATCACACTGATGATGAAAGCAAATACTTTAAGGAAGTGATCCTGCTTTATTTTTCTTTAAAAAAGGTCACTTGACAGAACATACATACAGAAACATCTGTATGTATAACCTACAAACACATCTACTTTTTCATCTTATCCTTCAGAGAAAAACTGCATTTGGCCAGTTTGTTCTCTAGTCTCTGTTAGGCTGGCTGGGTTTGTGTTTATTTAAGAGGTGATTTACAAATAGTATCAGTCACCTTGTGTTTTACTAGTGTACTAGAGAGACTGGGGAAAGACATGCAGAATGACATACTAAAATGATGAGAAAATGACCAGTGTTAGGTGTGCATATTGGGTGAATTATAACTGAGTTTATACTGAGTTTCTGACAGACTGCTAGAGACGGGAGCGAGATTAGTTTGGAATGTAGAGTGTTAAGGCTGGAAGTATTTGTGGAGCCGAGATGGTTAGAGTGACACAGGTCCTGTAGGTGAAACTTTAGACATAGTCCCAGCAGGTTACCTAGATTTAGACTGCTCTGATGAGAGAGTGCTGTGGGGCTCGTGTCTGCTGAGCTGCTTCTGCTGTTTTTTGTTGGCTGAGGCTGGGTGTGGCAGCTCACGCCTATAATCCTAGCACTCTGGGAGGCCAAAGCAGGGGGACCCCTTGAGCTCAGGAGTTCGACACCAGCATGAGCAAGAGAGGAGCCTATCTCTACTGAGAATAGAAAAATTAGCTGTTATGGTGGGTGCCTGTAGTCCCAGAAACTCGGGTGGCTGAAGCAGGAGGATGTCTTGAGCCCAACAGTTTGGGGTTGCTGTGAGCTAAGCTGACACCATGGCACTCTAGTGTGTTCAACAGAGTTAGACTCTGTCTTTTTAAAAATAAAAAAAGAAAAGATGTTTGAAAGGATATTCATTAGCCAGAAAAAGAAAAAGCCTAGTTTGGAAACTCAAAGCAACTGACTATGCTTATATTTAGTGGAAATGGACACTCTGGACTTGGAAGCTTTCTGTTTGGGAATAGGCAGCAGAGCTTGTGCTTTGTCGTACTTATGGAAACATGATAGTGAAATTCTGCTATAGTGTGATCTGCTTTTTGCCTATTTGCATTTTCAAATTCTGCTTTTATTGTGTTACCGAAAACCCATGTTTCACATCCTTGAGCCCCAAACTCAACATCTGTAGACCCCTGTTCAGCCCTTTTCATTTCTGGCACAAGAACTCCTTTAATAGTTCTTATTTATCAAGCTGTTGGTGGACATTAGCTGTAAGGATCTACTTTATGGTTTTTTTTTTTTGGCAGTTTTTGGCTGGAGCTACGTTTGAATTCACTACCTCTGGTATATGGGGCTGGCACCCCACTTCTTTGAGCACAGGTGCTGCCCTACTTTATGGTTTTTTGTCTAGACTTTGGAACCCATAGGGAGATTTTTGTTCAGTATTTGAGCTGCACAAAAATTTGACACTCGTTGTGGGAGGTATGGTGTACCAAAATCCCAAAGCATGGATTTTTTACGCTACAGGAATAGACAAACTTATTTTACTTATATGTAAAGTGTTAGAAAACTGTACCTCCTACAATTAATGTCAAATATTTGAAAACTCATTGTGGAAATGAAATGTCTGTACATTGGCAATCTTTCCGTATGTTATTATTTACACAGTAAGTTAATGTAGTGGATTATCCAACTTGAGCATTTATTCAGTTTACTTAAATTATTATTATTATTTTGAGACAGAACCTCAAGTTGTCACCCTGGGTAGAGTGCTGTGGCACCACAGCTCACAGCAACCTCCAATACCTGGGCTCAAGCGAGTCTCCTGCTTCTGCCTCCCAAGTAGCTGGGACTACAGGCGTCCGCCATAACGCCCGGCTATTTTTTGGTTGCAGCCGTCATTGTTGTTTGGTCGCCTGGGCTGGATTCAAACCTGCCAGTTCAGGTGTATGTGGCTGGAGCCTCAGCCGCTTGAGCCACAGGCTGAGTTCAGTTTACTTAAATTATTGATATGTATAATGTTGGTGCAAAAGTAACTGTGATTTTTGCATTTTTGGAATTTGCTGTTTGATACTCAAATATGTTCTTAGATGTGGTTATGTTATACAGCATTTTAATGTGCATTTCTTGTTTTATTTTTTATTTTCTGCTTATTGCTTGCTGTTTATTTTTTATTTATTTCGGACCATGGAAATGATGTTAGACAAAAAGCAAATTCTAGCGATTTTTTATTCAAGCTCAAAATTGGTTTTAAAGCAGCAAAGACCAATTGCAACATCAGTAACACGTTTGGCCCAGAAACTGCCAATGATGATGCAGTGCAGTGGGGGTTCAAGAAGTTCTGTTATGGAGAGGAGCGCCTTGAAGATGAGGCGTGTAGTGGCCAGCCATCAGACGTTGACCGAGACCACCTGAGAGCCGTCATCGAAGCTGATCCTTTGAGAACTTCATGAGAAGTTGCTGAAGGACTTGGTGTCCACCATTCTACAGTCATTGCACTTTTGAAGCAAATAGGAAAGGTGAAAAAGCTTGATAACTGGGTGTCTCATGAGCTGACCAAAAGTCAGAGCAGTTGTTGCCTCCAAGTGTTATCTCTTACTGTGGGTAACAACACAGTGACCCATCTCCCAATTGGATTGTGATGGGCAATGAAATTTGGATTTTATATGATAATCGGTGATGACCAACTCAGTTGGACCATGAGGTACCTCCAAAGCACTCCTCAAAGCCAAATTTGCACCCAAAAAAGTTTAAGATCATTGTTTGGTGGTCTGCTGCCAGATCCACTACAGCTTTCTGAATCCTGCAGAACTATGACATCTGATAGGTGTGTGCAGCAACTCCATGAGATACACTGAAAACTGCAGTGCCCGCAGCCGGCATCAGTCACCAGAAAGGGCCGGGTTCTTGTGGAAGACAACACCGGGCCACACATTGTACAACCAACGTTCCAAAAGTTTAATGATTTGGGATATGATGTTTTGCCTCATCCACCACCTTCACCTGACCTCTTGCCAACTGACTGCCACTTCTTTAGGCATCTTGACAACTTTTTGCAGGGAGATACACTTTGAAACCACCTTTTCTGCTGGTGAACATGCTTTCCAAGAGTTTGTCAAATCCCAAAACGTGGATTTTTTACACTACAGGAATAAACAAACTTATTTCTCATTGGCAACAATACGTTGATTGTAATGGTACCTACCTATTTTGATTAATAAAGATGTGTTCAAGCCTAGTTATTATGGTATAAATTTATGGTTCAAAACCACAATTACTTTTGTACCAACCTCTTATTACACAATCAGAATCTCTAATATACACTATATGTGAAATAAAGCATAATGGAATGACTATACTGAACTTTAGAAATAGAGGGTTATCTAGCCTGGGATTGTGGCAGGCACCTGTAATCCTAGCTGCTTGGGAGGATGAGGGACAGAGATGGCTTGAATCCGTGAGGATATTGTGACCTAGGCTGACACACGATGGCTCTCTATCCTGGGCAACAGAGTAAGACTCTGTCTCAACAAAAGAAATAGAAGGTTATCAATATTGTTTGAGCTTTTCCCTGTTGAAGATAACTCATCTTACTTTTTTGCATATTATTTCCTCGCCTTTTGTTATAGTTACGCACTATGTATAATGAAACCAATATACATATTTTCTCCTCCAACAGCTTAACTTGGCTTCTCAGTCTGTGTTGGAAGGACTCAATGCTTGCTTCGACCACCGAGGAGAAATCTATGTGCCTGAGCTGGGAATGGGCTTTCAAGTGCAGCATGAAAAGACGAAGATTTTTGGTTGTCAAAACCCTTTTAGACAAGGAGGTGGGAGGAAGGGCTTGCCAAAGTCTTTCCTTAACAGATTCACTCAGGTAAGATTTGCTATTGCCATAGACACCAGAGGTAGAGTGTTGGGGTAATAAGATTGCTGTCACGTAGCTATTAGGATGCTCATTGTGAAAATGAGTGAGTTTCAGCTTAATGATCCTTTCTTGTCCTTATATGGTGAATATTAATTCAGCTGATGCCCCTCATTGCTTTGCTCCTGGTTTGAATCATTTTATTGTATGTCCCAAGGGGACTTGGTGTATTATCAGTTGTAATAGAGTAAAGTAGCCTCCCCCCCACCCCCCACCTCCCTGTTCAGAATTTACTTATAGAGCTCAGGGTTGAAGGCTAGTCCTTTGCCCTTTTCAATTCTTAATTGTCAAGGAATTAGACATTATGGAAGGTTATTTTTAAGAATTTTTTAAATGAATCCTTTCAAACATTGAAAACTTGAGTGAATTTTATAGTAAACACTTATATACCTGTCATCCAGAATTTTGAAAGCATTTTACATTGCACATAGGAAAATTTTAAAAGCAAATATAGTTTTTTAAAAAATACTTGCATGGGCTTGGTGCCTGTAGCTCAGCAGCTGGGGTGCTAGCCACATACACCAGAACTGGCAGGTTGGAACCTGGGCTGGGTCTGCCAAACAATGACAACTACCGAAAAAAAAAAATAACTGGGTGTTGGGATGTGGTGAGGGGGTAGGAGGGGGTGGTGCCTGTGGTCCCAGCTACTTGAGAGGCTGAGGCAAAAGCTGAGGTTTAAGCCCAAGAATTTGAGGTTGCTGTGAGCTGTGACACCATGGCACTCCACCGAGGCAATGTAGAGAGACTGTCTCAGAAAATACTTGTATGTATCTCTTTTCTTTCAATCACAAACCTCTGTTGCACTTAGATTTTATGATTCTTTATCCAAATATTCAAAAAAAGACATTTCTATAAACAAGTATTACATATATTACTCATGCATTATTGGTGTTAAGTAAAGATTTCGTATTATGAGATATGGGAGTCATTTCTAGTATTTGGTAAAGAGAAACATTTTTTCATATTATTTTGGATCTTATAGGTCTTTGTGGATCCCCTTTCAGTAACTGACATGGAGTTTATCGCCAGTACTTTGTTCCCAGCCATTGACAAAACTATTGTTAAGAAAATGGTTGCTTTCAATAACCAAGTAAGTATCTAGTTGCATTAATTATTCTTTATTTTTTCTGGCTCTGTTGGAACCATTATTTTTTAAATTTGGTATTGTACCATATTTTTGGGATCTCTAAAGTAAATCACTTAGAAGGCTATAGGTGTCTAGTAGAGGTTTACAGAAGTTTGTTTTTGTATTGGGAGCGCCCATGTTACTGCTTCAAGGGCATCGCTGGCATCTGGAAGTCTGGAGAAAGGAGGCTTTGAGTTGAGCTTGCTGACTTTTGTTTCAGGATACATATGTACTTGTAATCCACTGATTGGACTTACTACAGTGCCTGATAGCAGGATGTGTTTCCCAGTAATAATGTTTTCTTTCTAGATTGATCATGAAGTGACTGTTGAGAAGAAGTGGGGGCAAAAAGGAGGACCCTGGGAATTCAATCTCCGGGACCTTTTCCGCTGGTGTCAGTTAATGCTGGTTGACCAGTCTCCTGGGTGTTATGACCCTGGTCAGCATGTGTTTTTAGTCTATGGTGAACGAATGAGAACCAGGGAAGACAGACAAAAGGTGAATTTCACATTTGTTTTTTTCATTTCTTTCCTTCTGAAAGTTGATTTCTTCCTAAGGGAGAGAAAGAGCATACTCACCCTAAATACCAAGCTTGTTAGAGCTGCTAGGCAATTAAGGAGCTAAAGGAACAGACTGAACATTCTCCTATCTTGGACCTTTACAGTATAGAGTAGTTTGCTTTGTAGAGCACAGTTTGCTTATCCTAAATCTCCATGGTCACAAACTTTTTTAAAACAATATTTATTGTCCTTTAATTATTAGAACTAGATCTTTATCATCTTTCCAAGCACAGAGGTGAGAAGCGGGAGGAGACGGGTAATACCCAGTACAAGAGAAGAATTTTGTTTTCTTTCAAAATAAATATCCAATTACAAAGTGTTTGATCTAGAGAGTGTAAAATATATGAAGAGAGGATATTCTGCATTTAAATGAAAATATGTATTATCTATCTGTAAATGAAAAAATAACACTCAACTTCCCAGCTTAAGGAATGTGAGACTGTATGCATTTTGGGGTATGGCATTTAAAGTCCTGTCGTGCTGAATGCTCACCTGTCCTGCTCTCTTGCAGTCATGTTTGTGTGGGATTTAGAACTAGCCACAAGCACACAACTCAGCTAGTTTTTTTTTTTTTTAAATTATTTGAGACAGTCTCAAGCTGTTGCCCTAGGTAGAGTGCTGTGGCGTCACAGCTCACAGCAACCTCTAACTCTTGGGCTTAAGCAATTCTCTTGCCTCAGCTTTCCAAGTAGCTGGGACTGTAGGTGCTCGCCACAATGCCCAGTGCTTTTTTGTTGTTGTTGTTGTAGTTGTCATTGTTTGGCAGGCCCAGGCTGGGTTCAAACCCACCAGCCCCGGTGTATATTGCTGGTGCCCTAGCTACTGAGCTACAGGGGCCAAGCCAACTCAGCTATTTTATTTATTGTTTTAACTCAGCTAGTTTTTAAAAACAGCTTTATTGATACATAATTTACACACCACTAGCTAGTATTTTAATTTGTTATTCACCTATTAGTTACAGTATTTTAACTGTGACAGAGACACAGCCTGTTGAATGACTGATGTGAGATGGCAGGTCCCTGTGGTGTGTGGGAGATCTCCATCACGTTTCCTATTCAAAGTTATTGCAACTGGCCAATTAGGTGTTTTCCTGGGGAAAGAAGGTCAAGAAAAATAATAGAGAAAGGCTATAAAGTTGGAGAAGGGTCCCGGTGAGTTGAACTTGATTTTTAAAAACTAAAGTAGCCAAATTATGAAAATACTTGTAATCTTAAACTTCTGGCAAATCATCAGAGGAAGAGATTATATGCTTTAGGGTGGAACTTGAGGTCAGAAATTGCCTGGACTACAGTAGGTGACAGGAACACTCACCTAAGCTGCTTTCAGTCTCCTAGCCAGAGGTCTGACACTGATTCTGATAGTATCTTTATGATATTTATTTTCTGACTGGAGTGTAGTGTGCAGTATTACGTAAGTATTGCTTTTTTATAAAGACAGGTTAATAAACATTTTTTTTCAGTGCCCCTAATTTTTTCTACTGCTCTGGGCTTAATTTTTTTTGCACATCTCTGTCACCTCTCTCCTACTCCTTAGATTTTTAAACTAAATTCAAAACCAAATAGAGTTAATAAATATTTTGTAACAGCTTAGCTACCAAAGAAGGAATAACTCGATGTAACTAATTGGTCAGAGGGATAACATTTGTCATCTCTTTATCTAATAAACATTTAGAGTGATAGCATGTTTTAGAGGCAGCCTGGATTGTATTTAAAATTCATTAGCAGCCATGGGCAAATTCTATAACTTCTACTAGTGCTGTTATCTGTCTCCATAAAATGGAGATGATGCCTCTTTTGTAGGGTTATGAGGCTGTGCTGTAATCTGTTCAAGTAGCTGATGCAGCGTTTGGTACACAGGGGCTCGTCCGTGTCCGTGAGGGCATCTCCTTCATGGCCTTTGCATCACTGCTCTCCTTCTCTTCATAAGTGGCATATTGAAAGACGACAGCAAATTTCTTTCTTCTCCTTAGATTGGCCGTATTGTATGTTTTCATTTCAATTTATGGTGTATTCTCATTGGGAATCTCAGATAGTTTGGGATTATGGGACTGTCTATTCTTGAGCTCAAGTTTACTTGCATTCTATTGAGTTAAATAAATGCAGTCTGTCACTTTTATAGGAGCAAATTCAGAAGGATAGGGAAACTGTTTTTAGTTTTCCCAGGATAGTGACTCTCATCGTCAATGGGCATGTTTTCTAGACATACTAATTGTAGAAAGTTTGCCTGAGAATTTGTTGGTGTAGTTAGTGTTTTGATTGTGTTATCTTTTTCAGGTCATTGCTGTATTCAAGCACGTGTTTGGTTCAAATTCTAACCCATACATAGGAACCAGACTATTTCATATCACTCCCTACGATGTTCAGGTGAGGAGACAAGAACACTTCCATCCTTGTACAATTTTCTGTGGTTTCATCTGCTGCCAGGGATGCTTATGAAATCTCATGGTCTGTCTTTTTAGCTGGGCTACTCAGTCCTTTCCCGTGGCAGCTACGTTCCTCACCCACCTCGCCGACCCCTGCTGCTCCTGCACCAGTCTTTCCAGTCTTTGGAGCCGATCATGAAGTGTGTGCAGATGAGCTGGATGGTCATCCTGGTGGGGCCAGCCTCTGTGGGCAAGACCAGCCTGGTCCAGCTTCTGGCACACCTAACTGGTCACACACTAAAGATCATGGCGATGAACAGTGCAATGGATACCACTGAGCTTCTGGGTGGATTTGAGCAGGTAACCAGTCTGCCTTCACATTTTCTGGCAAGCCATAATGAACCTCATGTTCTGATTTGAGGGTCTTCTGTGTTGGTGGTGAATAGTTAGTATAAGGTGACCAGATTTTAGCATTGGTGAAGCGAGACACTGTGACTTGGTGTGTGTGGGGGTTCTTAATTAAAAATTTGGTCTATATGGAGCAACAAAAATTTTCATAGAATGCAGAAATAGTATTGTAATATATATTTTTAATTTCAACTTAAGTACAATTTATAAATATAATACATTTAAAAAATTATGTATAGTATTATTTTATTCTTTGGCATATTTCTCATTTGAGTGAATTTTTTTTAGTAGATTGCTGTCGTTTAAAAGGTCATGAAATTTTTCACAAGAATTTGTTGG